AGGTAGCTGCCTCCACTTACATGCGAGAACTCTATGCCTTGAGAGAGGCACTAGATCATTGGAAACACTACCTCTTGGGTCGCCATTTCAAAGTGTTCTCAGACCACGAGACTTTGAAATGGATCCAGACACAGATTAATCCATCAGCTACATTGACCTACTGGATGCATGAGATTGATGTGTATGATTTTGAACTTAAGCACAAGAAAGGTTGTTACAATCGTGTTGCGGATGCTTTGTCTCGCCATCCTGAGTACATGACTTGCCTTGTAGGTTCCTACGATCTCCGTAAGAATTTGAAGGAGCAACTAGTTGAGCACACTGCCAAGGATCCGAAACTCAGTCCCATCCTTGAGCAGATCCAAGCTGACCCTAGTAGTCAGCCTGATTTTCATGGTTGTAAAGGTTTGCTCTTCCGACGTTATGGGAAGTATGACCGACTGTGTGTACCCAACCATGAGCCTATCCGTACTCACTTCTTGGACTTGGCTAATGGCCGGAGTGGACACTTCGATTTTGAAAAGACATACGGAGTCTATTGCAAAAGTTTGTATGGCCTGGGATGAAAGAAATGACACGAAAGTTTGTGGCTGAGTGTGAAGTCTGTCAACGCATCAAACCGTCTCGGCAAAAGCCCTATAGGCTGCTGCATCCTCTTCCTATTCCTGATGGCCCGGGTGAGTCTCTTTCCATCGACTTCACGGACATGGGAAAGAAGAGCAGGAATGGATATTCACAAGTAATGGTGATCGTTGACCGCTTTTCAAAATTTCTGAATTTGATCTCATTACCACCTCACGCCCCAACTGACCCCGTGATCAAGGAGTTTCACAAAAAGTACATTCTGCAGTGTGGGCCCCCGAAAACTCTTGCGAGCGACCGGGACACTGGGTTCATAAGTGCAGATTGGAAGGACTTCACCTCCCAGATCTATGACATCAAACTCAAGATGACGTCTGGCCAACATCCCGAAGCCAATGAACTGACCGAGGAAATCAATCAGACTGTAATCCAACTTCTCCGAGCTCTAATTGTGCCTGATCAGAACTCTTGGGATGAGGAATTGCCGATTGTGCAGGGATTGTACAACAACTCCATACACTCCTCCACCGGGATGACACCTAATCGGCTACACCTCGGGTGGCAAATTCGCAATCCCCTATCCTATCTGTTTCCTGATCCGCCATCGGGCTTAACGCCTGGCCATCCAGGCTACAGTGCTAAGTTTGATTGCTTGCTCAAAGTTGTTGTCGCTGCTATGGAAAGGCGACGAAGTGCCATGATTAAGCATGCTAACAAAGAGTGCCAGCGCAAACCTTTCATAGTGGGAAGCTATGTCCGGGTCAAAATGTCCGAGTTTTTTTAAGAAGAAGGTGTATCACGAAAGCTTCTTCCTCAGTATTACGGTCTGTTGAAAGTACTGAACCAGGTAGGGGAGGATTCATTCGGTCCTTCTTACACGATCGACGTGCCTCCTCATCTGCGCACGTACCTAGTCTTTCACGCATCAAAGTTGTTTCCGTATAACCACCCGAAACTTTTCCGTATCGAGAATCAATGATTCCTCGCGCAATCAATGGCGGTCACGAGATTGATAGAATTGTCGAGCACAGTGGAAAAGGGAGAAACAGACAATACAAAATTCATTTTCTATACCACCCATTAAATGACTTTACTGGATTGCTAAGAAAGACTTGCTGCAGAGTGCCCCGCGAGTCGTCAACGCATATGAACGACTGATCAGCTCTGAACAGCAACCTAAATTCAGCACTATCCTCACCCCTACGGAACATACCAGATCTCTCTTTGCCATTTACGCTTATGATGCATTCTGCAGGGACTCTGATTGAGTTACTCGCTCGAAGGGACCTCGCTCTTGAGGGGGGGGTAGTGTAATGACCCGCCATAACACAGACGGAGAACACTGCTGATTTCTGAAGTTCTGCCAATGGAATGGATGCCTTGCTGAGATTCCAGCATTCTGCTGTATTTTCTAAGTCTGTATGTGTGTGTGCTTGTTGACCTGCGTGCCTGTCTGAGTGCTTGTCGGCATGAGTGTGTGTGTGACCCGCAAGGGTACTTGCTTGTTTGGCAGGCCCGTAGGGCCGGTACTTACCTGTGGCCGTGATATTGAGGGTTGCAGCAGGAAAAACACTCAAGTAGCAGGCAGGCCGGTACCGCACCCAGTAGCAGTAGATGTGCCGGGTACTCAAGGCCGAGCAGAAGAAGACAAAGTTGGCATTTTCAGAGGCCCAGTAGCGGTAGGCTAGGTCTAGGTCGGTACCAGTCCATCCAGCCTGAGTCTAGAGCCTGTACGGGCAATATCAGAGTCTGCAATGATGTTTCCCTCCGAAAGGGAGGAGGTACCAGTTGCTTGAGGGGCCGAGCGGTCTGGAAGTCACTGCCCAGGAGGCAAGTAGGCCGCTATATCAAGAGGCTGAGGGAAGAACCCGGCCTCATTCTTCAGTGTGCAAGTTTGGCGACATGCTGCTGGAGCGCTGGCCGGAGGAGCGGTGGCTACTAGCCTACTACAGTGCTGCTGGGAGGAAGAAGCCGGGAGCTTCCACCTTAGCTGGTGGAGCTCTACCGTTAGGAGGAGGAGGGAGAAGAGGACCAAGGAGGAGAGTGGTGAGGTACTTACCTGGCTATGGTGGACACCATCTTCATCACCTTGTTAGGCGCTGCATCTGGAAGGCCCCAGTTGGGGTAGTGCCGCATCAAGGAAGCTCGGGACAAAGTCAGGCATGGAGGCTGAGTGGGCAGCGGCATAGCTGCCTGATGTTAACCTTGGGGCAAGAGGGCAGCGACATAGCTGCTTTGGGTTGTCCCTTGGACAGGAGGATAGAGCCCTCAGTACTCCGCCATAGCCTCGGCCTACATGAAGAGGAAGAGGAAGGGTGGTGGACCTCATGTCGTGCCTGCAGTAGAAGTGGGATTCGGACATTGATTCTGGTTCAGCCATTCAACATTATTATTGTTATTTCTTCTTTGAATAAGAGGGGAGGAGAAAAGGAGGAGGAGATTGGTTGGCGAAGAAGAAGAGCATTATCTTTGGTCTATGCTGGAGTACATCATCTTCTTCTTCTTTCTTACTTCTTCTTCTTCTTCTTTCCCTCTCTCTCCTCTCAAGTTCATTCATTTCTTTTTGCAATTGGACGGCATTGTACTTTCTGATGAATGTATACTTCGAAATTGGCCAGGATCGTAACAAAGCATAAAATTGGGATAGAGTGCGATAAAATGCGGCAGCAGACTGTGAAACAGGTTCAGAAATCTCAGAACGCCATGATAGCGTTTGAGAACAAGCGTAGAAGAGAATCTAAGTTTCAAGTTGGGGAAAGGGTATGGGTGAAGTCTTCTGAGTCTACACAGGAAGTGAACATCTCTCGCAAGATGATGCCTCAATATTTTGTGCCATCACATGTCCTCGATACTGTGGGTTCTGACCCTGATGGCCCATCAAACATCATCCGTGTACCGCCTCACCTACGTACTTGTGCAGTCTTTTACACCTCCAAACTCCTTCCTTTTGCAGAAACTGATGAGTTTCTTTCAAGGGGGATCCATGCTGCCCCCAACCATGGATGAATACGTGGGCTTCAATCAGATTGTGAAGCATAGATTTATGCGTGTACCTAAGCCTGTCGGCAAAGGAAGACTGCTGAAACCAAAGATGCAGTTTCGGGTCTCTTTCAAGCATCATACGGATTTGAAAGAAGATTGGTGGTTCACTAGAGAGGAGCTGATAAAAACAGCCCCTCAATTGTATCAACCTATGAGAGAATGCTGAAGGGGAAATAGCAGGTGGTGGACTATCCAATCCGAGGGGGAGGGAGTGCGAAGCATGAGGGCCCTCGGCCTGAACGTAAAAGGCCTGCACCCGCTGGAGAAGGCATGCACGCACCCTAAGTGAAGGCCGGCGCAAAAATTCGATGTCGCCTGGGTTGAGGCCGACGTGAGCAACAGCAGGCATGTGGGTTGGTTGAAGCACACAGCATCTTCAACCAACCGGTAGCGTAGTCGATTGAAGATACTGGGGGCCCAGAGAAGATGTTGAGGCCCAGGGCACTTAGAGTTGCGCCCCAGGCACATTCTGGAAGGGCCCTAGGCACAGCTACTGGGACAGAGGCTGCCCAGAGGGAGCCTGCCTTGCCCAGCCATACAGGACAGAAGCAAGTGAGGCTCACTCACTCACAGACATTCTGGCTGGCTGGACGGCAGCGGTGCCGCTGGAGCGCTGGCTTGCTGGAGGAGCGCCGGGCCTGGAGGAAGAGAGGCGCTGGCAGGGCACATGGAAGAGGCTGCATGGGCGCACAGCGGCCATAGCCGGGCTGCTTGCCCCCATAGCTGGAGGAGGAAGGCGGAGGTCCTTGGGACGAGGTCTGTAGCGGAAGTCAAGGAGGTAGAGCGATGTAATGAGGCGCTTACCTGGTGGTAAGGATCAGGCCACTGCACGTCATTCGTCATCGGGCTCCTGTACTTCATGTGTGACCTGTTCTAGATAGAAGTCTAAGTCGATAGCAGTTGTCTGATTGTAGTCTGAGCGCCAAGCACCAAGTAGGAAGTGACATTGTTGACATTGGTGTTGAAGGCAAGAATAGGGCTTTCACTATCTTGGACTTCAGTGCTTTGCTCTGTCTCATTTGGTGTTATCTTGTGGTGCAATCTGCTTTCAGTTCGGACTCAAATTTATCTGGATTTCTAGGGAATGCTGCAATCTGGTTTATTCAACTTTATTGTTCATTAAAAGATGTGCAGACCTGAAAGGCTGAAACTCACCCCTCTTCCCCCTTCCCCTCTTCCCCCTTCCCCCTTCCCCCCTCCCCCTTCCCCCTTCACCCCCCTCATCAGCAGGCTGCTCACAAATTGGGTTCAGGGAAAAGAAAAAGAAAAAGAGGAAGAGAAAGGTAAACGCACTGAATGATCCTCTTATTGCAGCAATAAATCTGATTCTGAAGTTATGGAGCTCTGAAGAATTTGAACTGTGATGTGTGCTGCAGTCTCCTTACTACAGTGGAGTAGAGGATCTCCGGCTGCTCCGTGACCGTGTTGCACTGAGGCCCATGGGTCACACTCTATCGTTCTGTGCTCGCAACCTCAGTGGAGTTGAGAGTAGTAACCAGCAGTGGCAGTTCAATATGCAGTTTGCTGATCCACATTCATTGCCACATCGACTGAATCTGTCGTCCATTCTTCAGATCCCGGTCCAAAGCACATGCATTGTGATGGTTCGACATTCCTTGAGGTTGCCAGGAATGATCAAGAAGAAGTCGGTGCGACTGAAAAAAAGGAAAGATAAAGAAAATACTGGAACAGCTGGTCGCAGATTTCCAGCAGCGGCTTCAGGAATGAGATGGACGGACCATGATGTGGTAGATCAGGAGGACTTCGTCATGGATCGCTATGCCATGCCAATTGTCGTCACTGTCAAGGATGCATTTGTGACTTCACATGGTCATGTGTATAGCAAGGAGGTGGGAACAATCGGGATCGAGAGTTGTGGAGGTACTCCGTGGCCGCTCCCCGAGCAGCCTGCGGCGCAGTCAGCATATGACACACATCGAATTGAAAAGAAAGTGTTTGTGATCTCTTACGGTCCTCATGGAGCAGACGTTTACCATGCACTGGTTGAGTGTCTCTCGAGGATGTCGGCGTATTATGGAGACGTTCTGTCGGATCCATCGATCAAACTCCATATGTTGCCATCGCGTTATGAGATGCTTGATCAGCTGCTCACTATTCTAGGGTTCACAAGTGACAGGATCGTTACCGGCAACGTCTTTGCCAAGATTGTGTTTGTTGCCGAGCCATCTATCATCCCTTGTTGGGGCGGAGAGATGTGGCACATGCGACAAATAAGGGCCCTACTGAGAACACGACTGCGCAGGGTATGTCCTCACTTGTTCCCACCACCTCTTCAATCATTGTCAGCACGAAATCAGGTGACATCTACCACTCATGCTAACGCAATCCCGACGTCATCACCACATTCATCATCATCTTCTTCTTCTTCTTCCTCTTCTTCTTCTTCCTCTTCTTCTTCTTCTTCTAGTAGTATGGCTACGGCTGAAGCATTGTCGACTGTAGAGCACAGAAGTGGGAAGGGTGATGAAAATGGGAGTGGCTTTGGATATGGTGGCCCAAGGAATGCAGTGAAAGCTCCTGCCAGCATCTCTAGTGACTACTTTGAAGGTGGGGCTGACAACAATATTGACGCCATCAGTGTCTCTTCCCATGCATGGACAGCAGTAGCCAATGTTTGTTTGCCCTTGGCGTCGGAGCCGGCATTCAAATCAGCAAATATGTGGGGGTTCATCACAAAAACAGAGGGGTGGGCAGCTGGCGGCAATGAATCGATTTTGAGTTTTTTAGGGCGGAAGCGCAAACACCTTGGCCTAATTGTTCGGCGGACTTCAACTCGCGTGGTGATCAATCAAGCAGAGATGGAACGACTGCTGGTGGAAAGGTATGGCTCAGAGATAGATTTTGCAGTGCTTTCCGACGACCCTGCGCCATCTCTCACAGAGATTTTTTTCCTGTTTTACCATGCTGACATTGTCGTAGCTCCCCACGGGGCAGGGCTGACCAACATGCTGGTGTCTCATGGAGAGGGCAGAGAGGCTGTTGCTGTATGGCCTTATCCAGAAAGGACAAGCAGTGGTGCTGGTACTATGAGTGTCCGCGTGCCAAGACGAGAACATCGTCCAGTGGAAGGACCGTATGCAACGGCCAAGGGGACCAAAGGGACTGTCATCATTGAAATCGTGCCAGATGCATACATGGTCAGACTTTACTTTGCCCTGGCCAGTGGCTTGGGCATTAGTTACAGCTTTGTTATCGGCTATTCAATGCTTGCTGAAGAGGACAGGGAATTGTGGATGACGAAAGGGATTCTATCGTTTACAAAGGCTGGCCCTACCAACCAACGAGTCAACTTAACAGAATTGGCCACTGAGCTGAAGAAACAGCTCTCAAAAAAAATTATCATGTCGCCAGAAGAAAAACTGTGAGTGAGTGAGAGAGTGAGAAACCGAGGGAAGCGATGGATGGGCAGAGGGAGGGAGGGAGGGAGGGAGGGAGGGAGGGAGGGAGGGAAAACCCTAAACCCTGACTACATGTCTCCTTGTCAGTAGCCTGTCCCTGGCAGTCTTATGGTGTGAAGGACCGAAGGACTGCATTGATTACTTCCCGTGGGAAGGATGTACCATCCCTCTCCCCTGCCTACGTTAGCCTGATTAAAGTACTCTAGAATTGTGGTGCCTCTCTGTTATACTGCCCTGCTAAGCTCTACTTGTGGTCTGGCTACAGAGCTGTCACTGGCTTGTCCCTCTCAGTTACCTATCTGTTTGGTTTGCGTAGCTTGCTGGGACGGTTAGAGCAGTTCTTGTCTGTGTGTTTCCATGAAAGTAAAATCCTGCAGTCCGCGGTCTGTAGTAGCCGTAGACTTAGGTCCTGCATTTTTGTTCTAAATTCTAGTCATGGGCTAGTGTTCTTAGTTCTGGTGCTGATCTTACTATCCACTGCTCTGTAGGCTTTGACTGGATCCTGAGCTCTAGTTTCTGGATTGGCCTAGTTGGTCCCCTACCCTCTGTGGGTCCTTTTACCGTCTGGTGTCTGTTCGGGCTTATGTTGAGTGGAGGCAGGATGTGGAGTGGTGGTACTAGGATCCTAGTGGGAGAGCGAAGTGATGGGTACGAGGGGTGTGAAGTTGAAGATGGATGGGGGGTGGTAGATATGGTGGGATGTCCAGGCTGATGTAAGATAGAGCGAGAGGTTGGAGAGGGGAAATTTAGGAACTAGTCAATAGGGGGGAGGGGGAAGTTGGTTCCGAGGTCAAGGGGGGGGGGATGGGGTTTGGGGGGAGGAGGGGTTGAGAGTGAAGTGGAGTGGGGGCTGTGGGAGGAGAGTGTCTTGGTTAGTTGGGGTGATGCGCAGTGTGGGTGTTGGAGTCAAGGGACGGGTTTGCCAGCGGTGGGGAACACAAGAGGTTAACAGGGCATCTGGTTTTCAGGTCTGAAATTTCATGTTTTTTTGGAATTTCAAGTTTTTGCTATATATGCATTTTGATAGGGTTACCGTATATGAAATTTGGGGTTATTTGGAGTTTTAGAATTTGCGCTGTTAAGATTTCTGAAATTTCTGAAATTGGTCAGAGTTTTTTTTTGGCCAAATTTCATGGAAATGCACCTTTGGCTTGCTGTTTTATATGTTTTTAATTGCTTTTTTTAGGGGTTTTTTCTGTGATGGGGTCGTAAGAAGTGCACTCTATAGATTGGTGTGAAGTGTTGTTGAAATGACTGTCTGTTTTTCTTATAAATGGGCCTGAAAAATGGGTGCTCGGTTAACCTGCTCTCGTGGGGAACGAGGTGTTGGTGAGGGGTGGGGTGGAATCACGTTCTGCGAGGGTGGGAGGGTCAGCCAGTTTTTGAGGACTAAGTAATCGTTTTTAATTTCTCCTAAAAGGCGTGATCCTAGTTTTGACGTTGAAATTTTATGGATTAATTCTGTTTTTTTCTGTCAGGGACAATGTTTATATGTTTTTGGGTTCTATTCCAGAGTGCATGTATTTCCGTTTTATTGTATGAGTGGGTTCTCGGGTGTGGTGGGGCAATCGTCGACTGTTAGGTCACACCTTCTTTTCAATAGGCTCCAGATGATTCCTTTCCTGATAAGTAAGAAGAAGAAAGCCTCGAAGCCGTTAAGGGGTGGGTTCTGACCTCTGTTACATGCTGCACCTGCAACAGGCTGGACGGGCCATTTCCAGGCTCGTGACGTTTTCAGGCCAAAAGCCTGAAAACAAGGGCCTACAGGCCCTGTGTCGTTTCATCCTGAAGGCCTGAAAATAAGGGCCTAGAGGCCCTGTGTCGTTTCAGGCTAAATCAGGGCCTTTCCGGCCCTGAGCGTTTTCAGCCTGAAACCGAGGGCCATTTCCGGGCCCTCATCAGTTCGACCTGCCCTGAAACTCACGCAACAAACCAGGGTTTTAGCACAGGCCATTTCGGGTCTGTTTTCAAGACAACCCCTGGTTGAGCTTCAATGCCAGGGTCTGGCACGTTTCGGCATTGGCAAGAGCAGCCTGCTGCACGGGCCAGCACTATATAGGACTGGCCCGCCCTGCAGGCAGGCAGGTAGTTCCTAGGTACTTCCCAGGCACTTCACGTGCAGTTCAGGAGGCAGGAGGTAGTCTTCAGGATTCGGCAGCAGCACTCTGGAGGAGCGCTGCAGTAGTAGTGGCAGCGTTAGCAGTAGTCTTTAGCGCTGGGCGCTAGTAGCATTAGCAGTAGTCTTCAGCGCTGGGCGCCATAGGAGCTAGAGTAGTACTAGAGAGAGAGAGATTGGACGGAGGCCAGGGAGACTTACCTGCAGCGCCATTGCTCCAGCTTCGTCTTCAAGGTACCTGCAGCACAGCGCCATCTTCACAGGTTAGTACCTGGCACATGAGAGAGAGAGTTCTTCTTCTTCCTCTTCTTCCACCATCTCCTTCTCCCACTCTCGCTATCTGCCTTCACTGCATCAGCAGACTACGAGAGAGAGAGAGAGAGAGAGAGAGAGAGAGAGAGAGAGAGAGAGAGAGAGAGAGAGAGAGAGAGAGAGANAGAGAGAGAGAGAGAGAGAGAGAGAGAGAGAGAGAGAGAGAGAGAGAGAGAGAGAGAGAGCTTGGTGACATTGGATCCAGACTCGACATGGGACTTCCGACATTTTGAAGAGGGATTATTTGGGACTTGTAACATGACTTGGTGTTGACAACTTTCCCATCTCCCCCTTCCTCCTCTTCGTCTAATCCCCTCCTCTTCGTCTGTGTATGTCTGGACCTGGCGCCTCTTTCCTGTGTATAGTGCCAGGCCCCTTCACACCTTGTGATGAGCATGATGTATGTTTGGTCTGCGTTGAAACATTGATTGGGCTAGTCATTAGGATCCCAGCATTCTGCTTCGCTATCTTGTACTACGTGAAAGAGGTCAGTCCCGTTCAGGTCAGGACTTGTATCTAAAGTCTTCCCTGCGTTATAAAGCACCATTTTGTATGTATCGGAATGCACACTGCTTGTTGAGATTCCACTTGCACTGCATTGTCCATTCAGTCCTTCTTATCACATTGCGGATCCTCGGTTATTATGTACATCGCCCAACTGGGCATGTAACAGTTGGTATCGGAACGCCGCACGTGAATCAGGACAACCTGATCTGACACGTGTGCGGGGACTAGATAGCTGATTAGTCGTGATTGATTGATTAGAGCACACTAGTTAGCCCCCAAATTCACGACTTTGACCTCGCTGCCGAAAATCGAAAAAAAAAAAAATTCCCTTTTCTTGGATTTTGTTTTCTCGCTATTTCTGTTGTGGAAAATCGCAATAGCGCAACATCTGAAATTTCTGTTTTCGTTTTTCTTATGAAAATTCGAAATTTCGTTGTTAGAAAATCCGGAATATCTTTTTTTGAAAATTTCGATTTCTGTTTGCAATTTCCCATTAGTTGGAAGTTCGGAATATTTTTTTTCCGAAACCCGTTTTTTCCAAAGCGGTACGGGAAATCCCTCTTGCGGTACCATTTTCCAAACTGCGAATACTCTCATCTGAGTAAGTCCGAATACTGGTTATTTCTTTTCGGAAATTTTTTTTTCGCAGTTCTATGATTTTCACTACCTGATAATCATTGGCAGTCTGAAGTTCAATTGTTTTTTCTCATTGATACTTTCGCACTTCAAGGGAGGTTGGGAGACCTACTGAACTTGCAAAACTCGGGATTTTTTTTATTTTCTCGAAAAAAAAAATTTGTAAAGTTCAAACTTTTCTTTTTTTGATTAGTGGCGCCTTATCTGGGCGAGTTATCCCCACCCACCCCTCCCCGCCTATGTGGTTGCCACTTCTGGTCGTACCTTCTCTATCTGTCTCCGGGTACCCCCTGCGACGGCATTGGTGAGTTGCCACGTCAGCAGGCCACGTCAGCAGGCCACGTCAGCAGACCATGCTAGCAGGCCATGTCAGCAGGACACATCAGCAGCCACGTCAGCAGCAGGGAGTGCCACGTCAGCAGGTCCCAGCCTGATCTATGCTTATGCGCTCAAAAACAGCCATCATGGACCAGATGCTCGGGGAAACGGACGAGGCCTATCAGGCCCGGATGCTGCTTCTGATTACGGAAGCTAAGCAACGGTTGGATCCAGTAGCAGCCGCAACAAAGAAGAAGGCAGAGGATGCCGAGAAGGCACGTCTGTTGGCAATTGAACAGCAGCGCCAGCAAGACGAGGCAGCAGCAAAGGCTGCCGATGAAGAACGACTTCAACGCCGCGAGAAGATATTCAGCGGAGAGCGAGCTTTGCTCACATTGGCAGCGGACTCGCGGGCCGAGAATGGCAATCTGGAAGAGAGTGGAAACAAGATCGCTCTCCTCCTTGGCCATCTCACGGACCTCCTGGCCACTTGCCTTGCACAGCGGGAGGACATTCACAACCTCGACGACGTGGTCCAGACACACAATCAGGTGTTTGACCAACTCACCAGCCACCTCCAGCAGCTGGAATGAACCGTCGCCGCCCCTGTTGCCAGCTCTTCCAACACCTCCGATCGCCTTGAGGCATTGGAGATTGACGTCGGATCCCTCAAGGACGGCGTACAGTTACAGAAAACCGCAACGCAACAGTTGGAGCAGCGGATCTGTACTGCCGCCACCCACTCGAGCTCTGAACCGCGCGAGACAACTCCAAAGTTCGATGGGCAGGAGATCTTCTGCGACTCGATGAAGACAGACCCGATTCCATGGTTCCGCAAGTTCGAGCTCACATTGCAGCTACACTACGTCACCGAACACAAGCACCACGGGTACTTATACTCCCGGTCAGGGGGCGCGTGCCAAGCATGGTTGGACAATCTTTTGTCCAAGTACGGAGTGGTAGCTGCCGACTTGCATACCAAGATCAGCTGGGATGATCTAAAGGCGGCGTGGCATAAGTGGTTCCAAGTAGAGCCGCCAGAGATCAAGGCAATGGACAAGCTGATGATCTTCGAACAAGGCACGCTGCCGAGTGTTGATTGGATTGCCAAGTACCAACGCTTGACATCCGTCCCAGACATTCAAATGGGCTTCAAAGCCATCAAACACTACTTCATCTCGAGGTCGTCTCCAGCGTTGGGCAATGCCTTGACTCACGCGAGGACACCCTGACGACACCGGAATAACTTTTTGACAAGGCCGCGCAGATTATTGTCGCGAACAAGGAGGCCAAGAATCTCAGCCACCCGAGAAGGTGGCCGCCCATGCGGCAAGGCGAAGACAAACACTGTATCTAGCCCCGGGCCGGCGCAGCAGCTCCAGCCCCATGGTCCCATTACGGTCTCTCCGAGCAAGCATTCAAGGCACGCACGAGATTCCGCTATTGTCTGTGGTGTAACAGCGATCTCCACGACACAATGGTCTGCCAGTCGAAAGGCAAGGGCAAATCGGGAAACTGAGCACCGCCGGGAGTGACTTGACGACACGCCTTCGGAACTGGTCACTTCGCGGGTGACCACCCTTCGTTCCGAGGCACATGCGGAAGTCGATAGTCCTCCTCTTCTTTATTCTTTTGAGGACTATGCTGCCCRGCTCGTTCCTACGCTGGGTACTCATGCTCAAGGACAAGACATGTGTGCGGCATCTTCTCCATCCGGCAACGGCAACTTATCGTCTTCAAGTAGTTCTTCACGGGATTCGGCGCGCGAGTTCAACATAGAGGTATTGGACCCGCTCACGTCTGAGGATATCGCATGGTTTCCTCTCCCGACCACAGGCCGCTTGTCAAGACCTCAATGCGCAGCATTATGCGCTCATCTTCACACGTACTTATCCTTCTATGCACCACCAACTTCGCCGACGGATGACGAAGTCGTGGTGGGGGACATCCTTACGTATGTTACCAAGGTGGCCCGCGAGTTTCACAAGCAGCGGTACGATGACAACAATGCACCACTCTTGTATGTCCGCATCCAAGTTGGGCAAGCGTCCTGCAGCGCTTCGCTGGATAGCGGCGCGCCTCGCAATTTTATGAGCCAAACCTTTATGCAAAAGGCTGGCCTTGGCGCACAAGTTCGAAGAAAGCCAAACCCGATGACGATCAAGTTGGCGGACGGAAGGACGCGGCAACTTATCGACCGCTACATCGAGGCCGTACCGGTGTATTTCGCACCTCATGCATGCGAACCGGTGACATTTGACATTTTGGGCACGGACTTCAACATTATTTTGGGAATGTCTTGGCTTGCAAGTGCGGATCACACGGTCTACTTCCACCGGCGGACTGTTACTGTTCGTGACGCCTTCGGTGCCGAAGTGTCGTGTACTATTCCTCTTCCGCACCCTTCGATTCGGTGCCAAGTGGTAACGGCCAAGTCATTCCGGGCTACTTGTGCTTACGAGCAGCCCGACGAAATCGGCCTATGTTTCCTACGGACCGTCGCGGTAGCCGACTCTTCACCCACGGACTTGTCTTCGGACCCCCGTGTGGTGCGGTTGCTTGACGAGTTCGTCGACATCTTCGAGTGACCTACCGGTGTGGTGCCGGATCGGCCGATCTCTCACGAGATCATTCTTGAGGCCGGTGCCGTGCTGCCGAAAGGTTGCATTTATCGCATGAGCGAGGAGGAGCTTACGGTCCTCTGCACGCAACTCGATGATTTGTTGGACAAGGGTTGGATCCGCCCTAGTAGCTCTCCATACGGAGCGCCAGTTCTCTTCATACAGAAGAAGAACAAAGATCTACGATTGTGCATCGACTACCGCAAGCTCAACGTGCAAACCGTCAAGAATGTGGGGCCTCTTTCTCGCATCGACGATCTTCTTGAGCGATTGGGCGGCGCAAAGTATTTTTCTAAGTTGGATTTGAAGTCGGGATATCATTAAATCTCGATCCGACTGAACGATCATTACAAATCCGCGTTCAAGACACGGTATGGGCATTTTGAGTGGGTGGTCATGCCTTTTGGCCTCACCAACGCCCCAGCGATCTTTCAAGCGGCAATGACCAACGAGTTTCATGCAATGTTGGATCGGTTCGTGCTGGTCTACTTAGACAATATTCTCGTCTATAGCCGGTCATTGGAGGATCATCTTGAGCACCTTCGACGAGTGTTGGAGACGCTCCACCGTGCCAAGTACAAAGCCAACCACGACAAGTGCGAATTTGTCCGGCAAGAGCTGGAATACTTGGGCCATTTTGTCACATCAGAGGGCATCAGTCCGCTATCGGATAAGATTCAAGCCATCCAAGAGTGGTCGGAGCCACGGAACGTCACGGATGTCCGTTTGTTCCTTGGTCTCGCCGGCTACTACCAGCGTTCTATCAAGGGCTACTCGAAGATCGCGGCCCACTTGACCAAGCTTTAATGCGAGGATCGACCGTTTGACTTCGGAAAGGATGCGCGAGAATCATTTTTGGCTCTCAAAGCCATGCTATTATCTGCGGAGGTCTCGCGCATATACGACCTGCTTTTGCCTACGCGCGTCACTACGGATGCGTCTGGCTATGGCATTGGTGCCGTCCTCGAGCAACACGATGGCGTGGACTGACACCCAGTCGAGTATTTCAACAAGAAAGTGCCCGTCGTGCACTCCATTGACAATGCACGCAAGAAGGAGTTCCTCGCCTTCGTCCACGTGCTCAAGCGGTGGCGGCACTTCCTCCTTGGTCGAAGCCAATTCCGATGGGTAACGGACAACAATCTGTTGGTCTTTTACAAGACCCAAGACACCATCAACAGCGGATGACTTTCATCGACCAGTTCGACTTCTTTCCTGATCACATTCCGGGGAAGTCAAACTGTTTTGCGGATGCTCTTTCACGGCGTCCGGATCATTGTACCGAGGTCTATTCAACCTTCGAGATCGACAATGACCTGCGGGACAGCTTCATCCGCGGCTACCAAGCCGACCCCGAGTTTTGTGACAAGTACGCGAATTGCTCCTCTCCTAATCCGACGCCTTCTCACTACCGGATCCAAGAGGGGTACTTGCTTGTCCACACACAGGGGAAGGGCCTTCTTTGCGTACAAAGTGACCCTCACTTGCGTACACGGCTTCTTGGCGAGTTCCACGATGCTCCCGCCACCGTACACTTTGGATTCAATCTCACGATTGGCCGACTTCGCGAGCGATTTTGGAGGCCCGACCTTCTCGGCGACGTCCCACACTATTGCGAGTTATGTGAGGTTTGCCGACGCTGCAAATCCCGCAACCATCGTCCATACGGCGAGTTGCGACTATTACCGGTCCCCTTGCGGCGAAGGGAAGCGATTGCCATGGATATTACCGGCCCGTTCCCCAAGCACAAGACCGGCGTGGATGGGATTCTCACGGTGGTCGATCGACTCACCAAGTTCACCATGTTTTTTCCTTGCCGCTATCATGCCAAGGCACCGGAGTTGGTCGAGGTTCTTTACGCCAGTTGGATTCGAACCAAGGGTTACCCCAAGGAAATCGTCTGCGACCGCGACACTCGGTTCATGTCCGATTTTTGGTTGGCGCTCATCAAACGATGGGGCTCATCTCTCAAGCCACGTTCGGCTCACCACCCCCAAACCGATGGCCGAACGGAGAGGGCGCATCAGACCGCACAGGTTCTCCTTCGCACTCTCGTCCACCCTGACCAAATGGATTGGGTTGAGCAGCTGCCGGATGTCGAGTTGGCCTACAACTCGTCCCTCCACCCGGCTATCGGGATGTCGCCCTTCGAGCTCGAGCACGGCTCGCCGGTCACTTCGTCGTTGGACACAATCATTCCACGAACGACCTAGAGCGACGACCATCTTCTTTTCTTGCGTCGGATGCAAGAGCTACTTGTCAAGGCACGCGACCAGATAGCCAAGATGCAGCAACGCATGAGCCAACTGGCCAATCGCCAGTGTCTTCCTTGCCCATTCCGCGCCGACGATCTCGTTTGGGTTTCCGGCGCGGAATTCAGCCTTGAACAAGATATCTCTCGAAAGCTCCTCCTGAAATGGATGGGGCCCTGGTCAATCGTGGCACCCGCTGGGAATGCACCCAAGGGACCTTCCTTCACTGTTCAGGTGCCCGCCCACTTGCCCGTCTACCCAGTCTTTCATTGCTCCACGTTGGCTCTTTACATGCCAGCGGAACATGACGATTTTCCTGGGCGACGTTCGCAAGGCCCACCCTCTATGGACGATTTTCAGGAGTCGGCGACATCATCTCCCAGCGACGCTACGACAACAGGCCAACCGAGTACTTGGTACATTTTGCGTACTGCACTCACAAAGTTGACCGTTGGTTGACCCGTGCGGAACTCCAAGCAACAGCTGCGGATGTTCTCGCACGCTACGAACGCAAAATGCAAGGCAAGCCGGTATCTTCGGCTCCACGTCACACACGCGTCCAGGTTCCACATTCAGATTGTCAGCTTCGCCCTCTACCCGGATTGACTTCATTAGGAGGGGGGGGTGTTACATGTTGCGCCTGCAACAGGCTGCACAGGCCATTTCCAAGCCCGTGACGTTTTCAGGCCAAAAGCCTGAAAATAAGGGCCTACAGGCCCTGTGTCGTTTCAGCCTGAAAGCTTGACAACAAGGGCCTACAGGCCCTGTGTCGTTTCAGGCTAAATCAGGGCCTTTCCGGCCCTGAGCGTTTTCAGCCTGAAATTGAGGGTCATTTCCGGGTCCTCATCAGTTCGACCGGCCCTGAGCGTTTTCGACCTGCCCAACTCAGGCAACAAACCAGGGTTTTAGAACACAGGCCATTTCGGGCCTGTTTTCAAGACAACCCCTGGTTGAGCTTCAACGCCAGGGTCTGGCACATTTCGGCATTGGCAAGAGCAGTCTCCTGGATGGGCCAGCACTATATAGGACTGGCCCGCCCTGCAGGCAGGCAGGTAGTTCCTAGGTACTTCTCAGGCACTTCACGTGCAGTTCAGGAGGCAGGAGGTAGTCTTCAGGATTCGGCAGCAGCACTCTGGAGGAGCGCTGCAGTAGTAGTGGCAGCGTTAGCAGTAGTCTTCAGCGCTGGGTGCTAGTAGCGTTAGCAGTAGTCTTCGGCGCTGGGCGCCATAGGAGCTAGAGTAGTATTAGAGAGAGAGAGATTGGGCGGAGGCCAGGGAGACTTACCTGCAGCGCCATTGCTCCAGCTTCGTCTTCGAGGTWCCTGCAGCACAGCGCCATCTTCACAGGTTAGTACCTGGCACATGAGAGAGAGAGTTCTTCTTCTTCTTCTTCTCAGTCCACCATCTCGTTCTCACCCTCTTGCTATCTGACTTCACTGCATCAGCAGACTATGAGAGAGAGAGAGAGAGTGAGCTTGGTGACATTGGATCCAGACTCGACATGGGACTTCCGACATTTTGAAGAGGGATTATTTGGGGACTTATAACGAGACTTGGTGTTGACAACTTTCCCATCTCCCGCTTCCTCCTCTTCGTTTAATCCCCTCCTCTTTGTTTGTGTATGTCTGGACCTGGCGCCTCTTTCCTGTGTATAGCGCCAGGCCCCTTCACACCTTGTGATGAGCATGATGTATGTTTGGTCTGCATTGAAACATTGATTGGGCTAGTCATTAGTATCTTAGCATTCTGCTTCCCTATCTTGTACTACGTGAAAGAGGTCAGTCCCGGTCAGGTCAGGACTTGTATCTAAAGTCTTCCCTGCGCTATAAAGCACCATTTTGTATGTATCGGAATGCACACTGCTTGTTGAGATTCCACTTGCACTGCATTGTCCATTCAGTCCTTTTTATCACATTGCAGATCCTCGGTTATTATGTACATCGCCCAACTGGGCATGTAACACCTACTTCAAGGAGTATTGTGTTGGGACTAGTCGTAACGGACTTGTCAGAGAAGGAGTTACAAGTGAGCTCTATCTCTTGGCATATGATTCAGGCTTTTGGGCAATCGATGAAATAATGGTTTAGTGTTTCTGGTCTCTGTGGTTGCAGACTTTGCATCAGGGGTCTTGATCTGTTCAGTTTTCCTTGTTGCGTCTCTATGCCAACCAGTGATTGACCGGCACTGCCCTGAATGCTATTAACCAAAGTAGGCTGGCTAGTCTGACAGATCTAGTACAGGAAATTGACGTCCAGGGCAGGGTTATTTTTGAGTCAGTGATAATGGGTTCTTCTTTTGTCCATCTTTTTTGAAGGATGTTGGTTATTGAGATGGGTTTAGAGAGGAGAAGGTAGCCTAGTCTGGGAGTGTAGTCGGATATTTTGTGAAGCCGTGGTATAGTGGCTCGTTGGGTGGGGGTGCTCCAGGTCCATTATGTCAGGTCTATTTCTAGTCCTTGACTGCCGCTTAAAAACCTTATTTCTTTCTTCTTCAATAACTCTTATTCTTCGCAGGGTGTTTGTTTTGAAAACACCTTCTGCTCTGCTTTCTGTGTTAATGCAGATTGTTGGGCTCCCTGGCTCCTCCAGAGAGAAAATGTCGCAGCAGATCCAGTTATTATTCGGGGTTTCATAGGTTTTAAATCTGAGAACTTCCTGTACCACTCCCAGTTCCTTTATTGTGGCCAGTCTCCATATTGCCATTTCTGTTCAGACCGTAGTAGGCGTCTCCATTCCATGGGAATGCTTTCTGGTTAATGTTCGTTTGTAGGTGATGTAGGCCTTTCAGGGTTGGCCTGAGTTCCTTTTCAGATTTCCACTTGTTTGCTTCGTCATCCCAGAGGTGTTGGATCTGCCATACTCCTCTTTCTACCAGTGACCCCATTTGGCATCAGATTTGGAGAGGGTTCTCGTTTTCGATCCAGGGGTTGCCAAAGATGGGTTGTCTTAAAATTTTCTCTTCTTTTGGGCCCCTACCTGTTTTCTAGAAATAAGTTCCTCCAACTGCGTAGGATCAAGGCCCAGAGGGATTTTGAAGGTTCAGGATCTGGATTATCATCTTGTGTCGATTCGGGGTGGTGTTTTTTTTTGCCTTTGGGGAGTGTTCAGTGTTTGTTGAAGATCCAGAAAAGACCTGTCATGTTCTTTGGACATTTGAATGGGGCTAGTTCCCTGATGTGTTTCATGACTAAAGGTGTTCAGTGGAGGTTGTCTTGGAGAGATAATCTCAGGATCCATTTGATTTGAAGGGCCTGGATCTGGCGAGATGGGTCTAGGAGACCAAGGCCACCCTTGGATTTGGGTTGGGTAACCGTTTGCCAGGCCACCTTGTGGATAAAGTGATCGTTGTCGGGGTTGCCTGTCCAGAGAAAGGATGCTGACTTTTTCGTGATTTGGCTTTGGAATTCGTCAGATGGGAACCAGATAGAGGTGGTGTACCACATCATTGTTGATATTGAGTTGTGCAGCGCTATGAGCCTTCCTAGTAATGATGTGTGGGTGCCTTTCCATGTGTGCGTTATGTTGAGCATAGAAGATAATAGGGAAGCTGCTAATGTGTTGTGGGAAACTTTCGTGTCGAGGTTAATCCCTAGGAAATGAAATGGGGCAATCGGATCTGCCCAGAGCATCCCTTCTGGGGTGAGTTCAATGGGTGGTGGGGTTTCTGATAACCAGCAGCCTATAGTTTTTTTCCAGTTCACTTTCATTTCGGAGGCCAATTGGAATGCTTGCATTGCTCTTGTCAGGGCTTGAAAAGTTGGATGCTCTGATGAGAATTGTGAGAGTGTTTCATAGTTTTTTAATGATACGGTCGGGGTCTTTGGTTTTCAGTGACAGTTTGTATCCTTGTTGAACTGTATACTCATGAATTGGGATTTTGGATTTGATGTTCTTAGTCTTGTCCGACATCCATGCCCATTCAGCTGCGTCAAACTCCAAGTTGTGGATTGCTGTGTCAGGTCTAAAGATTGACTTGGGCCAAGAGCCAAGGACCCTTATCTTCCTAAGTAGGAAGGAGTCCAAGACTACCGACTCAACATCGCTGTTCAGGATGGCCGACATACTGGTAGCAGTCGTGGAGATTGGAAAGGAGAGGGCCTTGGTGTGTGAGTCTCGTTGCATGTGGGAGAATTGGAAGGCTCTCGAGGGGATCATTTCTTGAATCTTAAGTCCCCATTCTCCAAGTTTTCATGGAGCGGCTTCCGTCAAGATATCTTTCCATTCCTGTGGAATAAGGCTGACAATGTACTCGAGATTGAGTCCTCGTCTGTGGCATCCTTTCAGTTGGGAACAGATTTTCTGTTCTGTCTTCCATTCTTTCCTGTCCTCATTCCATATGTGAGCGATTTCCCAAATGCCGCTTTTGACCCAGGAGAGCCATCTGTGTTCTAAGAAAAGGCGGTTGTCACCCTCATTTGTCACCCATTGGTTCCCGAAGAGCGGCTGCCTTAGTACTTCATCCTTAGATCTAGGCCTATTGGACTTGTTAGGGATTATTTTTCTCCAGATTCGAAGCAGCGCCGTCCAGTATGGAGTATCAGGCCTATAGCCCTCTAGTCTGGCGTCCCTCGTTCGATTCCTTCTGCCCGTGGCTATGATCCAGTTTTTATTCATTACCCAGAACAGTCCTGACATATCCTCTGGTGAGGGCACCGGGGCTAGTGATCTGATGTTGTCCAGGGCTAATTTATGCCATGCGTTGTCTGGGTTCATCAAAAGTTTGATGATCCACTTAATCTGCAGGGCTTTTGTTTCTGTTCCGGGGTCTATAATCCCTAAACCTCCCTTTAGCGGGCTCCTCGTGACGTAGTGCCATGCTACTTTAGATATACTGTTCTCTTTGTTGGGGTCTCCTGACCATAGATAGAGCCTGACTTTTCGGTTCAATTCTTTGATAGAGTTATCCGGGACTGTCCAGATGGAGGCTATGCACCCCATCATTGAGAATACCGAAGTGTTAAGGACCAGGGCTCGTTCGATGAGGGACGTGAAGACATTGCCCCACCTTCCTAATTTGTTGATTTGTTTGGCCAGCATGTTCTGGCCTAT